CACAGCTTGCACTGCACAGCCTCTAGCACATAGCTTGCGCGTCCACGGTGCAATCATTGACTGCTTAGAGGGTCACGCTGGCAAACGTTCGCGGCACACTTGCTTGCGGCAGTCTCGAGGATTGAATGGGGTCGTTTCCAACATTGGGCGATGTCCTCACAGTCACACTCGTTTCAAAAGCAGGCGACAGTTACAAGGATGGAGGGATGGAGGATGGAGGGGGGAGGAGGAGGTGGAGGAGGAGGAGGAGGAGGAGGATTAAAAGCACGTCTTATTAGAAGGATGGAGGTTTTTTCAAAACACGGAGCTCTCGTCTTGGCGCCGCGCGCACTCGTCGCAGCAGCGAGTCGCGGCTACGGGGAATGGCGGGCGACTCCTTTGTTCAAACATGGGCTTCCGGCAGGAGCGCCGCGCACGTCTGTCCCGCGCGCTGCTGCAACCGCTACAAGGGTGTCGGGCGGTTCCTTTCTCAAAAATGTGGTTCTCGCCCCTCCTCCTCCTCCTCCTCCTCCTCCTCCTCCTCCTCCTCCTCCTCCTCCTCCTCCTCCTCCTCCTCCTCCTCCTCCTCCTCCTCCCTCTCCCAACTCCTCCTCCTCCTCCTCCTCCTCCTCCCCGATTCCCTATACATTCGGGTGCCGGAAAGTTGAAGCGACGTAGTCACTGTACGGCTGGACGGCGGCAGTTGTTCAAACTGGGGCGCTTTTTAACCCTTTTTGGCCCCATTGAGGTAACAGAGATGCACGGATGGGGCGGTTCTTTTTCAAAACGGGGCCGTCTTGGACACACCGTTAGAATGTAATTATCATCCTATCAGCTTGGATTCCCATGATCCTGATAACCAGCGTAAAGTATTCAAGGAAGTGTTTTTGTGTTCGTGTGCGATGCAGCATCGTTGATGTTTCTTGGGTTTACTCTGAATCTCCTCTCCTTCCACCTGCATTGCAGTCCAACTCACGTGCTCCGACCGCCCTTGCCCGGCCCTGCCCCCTCGTCATCCTCAGAGAAGGAGCGAGGAGCGAGGAGGAGTAGGAGAAGGAGGAGGAGGAGGAGGAGGAGGAAAAGGCGGAGAAAGCGAAGGAGGAGGAGGAGGAGGAGAAGGCGGAGGAGGAGAAGGAGGAGAAGGGGGAGGAGGAGAAGGAGGAAGAGGAGGAGGAGGAGGAGTTGGAAGAGGAGGAGGAGAAGGAGGAGGAGGAGGAGAAGGGGGAGGAGGAGAAGGAGGAGGAGCGAGGAGGAGGAGAGGAGGAGAGGAGGAGGAGGAGCGAGGAGGAGCGAGGAGGAGGAGGAGGAGGAGCGCGGAGGAGGAGGAGAGAGGAGGAGGAGGAGGAGGAGGAGGAGGAGGAGGAGGAGGAGGGGAGGAGGAGGAGCTCTCTGGGGGCCTCCAGAGGCCTCCAGAGGCTCCCCGGCGGGCCTCTAGAGGAGTCAACCCGCCGAGGCCTCCTGGGGGGGCCCGCTCGCGGAGCCCCCCACGGCAATAGCGCTCCGCCTTATACGCTCCTCGATGGCTCCCTCCGCGCAGCCGGGCCCCTGGGGTGCGCCGCGAGGGTCAAGCAGTGGCGAAGCGTCTTGGCGTGCCTATGGCCCCAGCAAGCCATGTTCTAAGAACATGTTCTGTGGTTTCCACGAAGTGCTCTCAGAACATGTCTGGCGGAGGTTGTCCTGTTTTAGCACATCGGGTTTGTGTTCTAAGAACCTTGTTTTTGTTCTTAGAACATGTTTGGGTTCTAAGAGCATTTCGTGGTAGGACTATAGGAATGCGGGGACGGTCGGTCCCTGCTCAACGAGGGCCCGTGGCCATAGCTCGGGCAGACCCGAAGCCCCGTGGGCCGCGGGGGTCCCTGGCCGGCTCGGCCCTATAGAGAATTACGTCGGGCTCGTGCCTCTGCGGGAGGGGTTATCCAAAGACAGGCCAAACATAGTCTGGGGACGATGTTGTGAGCACCTCTTGGCTATGCTTGAGCATGTTTGGGGGTATTGAGAATTTGTTCGTCCAAAATCGGCCTGAAGGGGGGCATGCCCGACCAAACCATAGAAGTCCGCGGGAGGCTCGTGGCCGGCTCGGGCCCGCGGGGTCTGCCGGGGCCGCCCCGCCCGCGTTCCCCGAGTGGGGAGCCGTCGGCCCAGAGATCCAACGCATTGAAAGAATCAAGACGCAGGTTTTTCGCAATTTTCGGCCTGAAGGGGCCCTCGCCGGCTCCGGGACCGTCAAACAACGACTCGGGATGAAGAACCAGTCCTAGGGAATGGGTCGAGGCCTCTGGGGACCCCGCATTGAAAAAATCACGACGTCGGATCTCTGGGGGAGGAGGCGCAAGTCGTCCGTGCGGAGCCTCGGTCCGTACGGGCGTGCTCGGCCTCCGTCGGGGCGCACCTCCGTCGGACCTCCGTCTGGGCGTGGCCTCTCTCCTGCTTCGAGGGAAGCGTCGGGCTCGAGCAATGGCGCCGGGGCTCGGGTGGGCCGCCGTTGCCTCTGACGAGCGCGTGCTCCTCCTCCTCCTCTTACTCCTCCTCCTCCTCCTCCTCCTCCTACTCCTCCTCCTCCTCCTCCTCCTCCTCCTCCTCCTCCTCCTCCTCCTCCTCCTCCTCCTCCTCCTCCTCCTCCTCCTCCTCCTCCTCCTCCCTCCTCCTCACTCCCCTCCTCCTCCTCCTCCTCCTCCCCTCCTCCATCCCCTCCTCCTCCTCCTCCTCCTCCTCCTCCTCCTCCTCCTCCGGGGGGAGGAGGAGGAGGAGGAGGAGGAGGAGGAGGAGGAGGAGGAGGAGGAGGAGAGGAGGGACGAGGACGAGGACGAGGACGAGGACGAGGACGAGGACGAGGACGAGGACGAGGACGAGGACGAGGACCTCCTCATCCTCCCGCCTCCCCCGCCCCAGCTGTGGCACAGCGGTGGTGAAGAACTGGCCCCTCCGCCCGGCCTGGCCCCCGCCTGCGCCCGGCCCCTGCCGCAGCCCCGGGGCGCGCCCCCCAGGATCAAGGGGCTCCTCCTGCGCCGCGCCGCGCCCCGCGGGGCCGCGCGCGGGGCGGCCCATATGCCCGCGGAGTGGCGGCCGCACGGCGCGGCCTCGGGCGGGGGCGGCGGCAAGCCTGGGCGGCGCGCACCGCGGGCGGGCGGGCGGGGGGGGCTGACGAGACACGGGCCTCTGGGGGGGCAACGACAGAGGGGTGGGGGGGGGGGGGGGCACAGGGGGCTGACGAGACACGGGTCTCTGGGGAGGCAACGACAGGGGGGGGGAGGGGGGGCACGGGGGGGGGGAAGCAGCGGCCCCCGGTCGCCCACGGAATACCCGACCGGGGCTGGAGAGCTCCAGCCCGCCCCGGGAGGGTGCGGGTGCGCCATCGGGGGCCTCTACGTCGCCGATCTATCGGCGATGTATCGCGGATTCCAGGTCGATGTTCCCCCCCTTATCCTTATATCTCCCCCTATCGTTGCCCCTCAGTCTCGGGGCTCAGGAGACGGGGCTCCATGCAAACGGGGCTCAGCCAGAGCGCCCGCTCTTGGAGGACCCTGCAGGGCCAGGGTCGCACTGACCCGGGCTTGGGTGCAGGATCCTGCAGGGTCCTGCAGGATTGTTCGCATTGACCCGGGTCTGGGAGCAGGATCTTGCAGGATTAATGCGAGGCCTGACTGACCTGGGTCTGGATTGACCCGGGTCAGAAGATCCCCGAGGCGGGGGTCACGAGACACAGGTCTCGGGACGATTCCCTCGTACATGGGCGCCGCTGGCGCGGGGAGGCGCCGGGAGACCAGCCGCGTGAGCCTATTCGCTATCCCCCCTGTCCTGCCCCCTCTTCCGCTCGGCGCCCCCTCGAAGAGGCCTCAAAGTCTGGAGGGCTACCTCCTAGCACGCTGGAAGGTATTGTAGGCGCTTGCCCAGGCCTTGGCTGGGCCTCCAGCGACCCGAACGAATCGGGGCTCAAGAGACGGGGGTCCATGCGAGCGGGGATCAGCCAGAGCGCCAGATCTTGCAGGATCCTGCAGGGCCAGGTGTGCACTGACCCGGGCTTGGGCGCAGGATCCTGCAGGATCGCGCATGGTTTTGCACGAGCCTGCAACGCCTGCCCGACCTGAGTTTGCATTGACCCGGGTCGGTGCGACCCCGAAGGCCCCCTCGAGTCATGAACAAAAGCACGACGGCAGGTGTTTCGCCGTCTTCGGCCTCTGTGAGCCCGTGCCGGGCCTCGGGGCCGTCAAAAAACGGTTCGGGATGAAACACTCATTGGTCCCGGGGAACGGGTCGAGACCTCTGGGGGTCGACGTTAGGAAACAAGTCATGACGTCCGGGGGTCAGGGGAGGGAGAGACACGCAGAGGTCGAGCAGGAGATCGACTCCAGAATTGATCTGCCCCAGAAGCACTGCTCGTCGAATCTAGGACGATGCCTCCGATGCGCCGTCGATCTGCTAGCATTGTATGCACTGTGGTCGTAGAGTCGACTAAAGCAATCAATGCTTGGAGCGGGTGCAAATCGAATTTGCAGTCGATCCCCTACTCGAGGAAGGACCGCGCGCCGACGGGGGTCGTCGACGCGCGCCCTAGGGCCCCTTCAGGCCTACCTGTTGCACGGCGTAGGTTGTGCTCGCCGTTGGCGTACCGCTGCCGCCTGAACACAACACGACGGTACAGCTGGGGCCCTGAAGAAGGAACCCTTTTCGTTGGGGAGGGGCTCGGTGTTCCTTGGTTGTTTCAAAGTATGCCTCGGGCTTTCTTAATGTTTTCCTTGGGAAATCGAGGTTGAATGTATGGGAAAAAGGGGCCTCGTTCCTTATTTAGGGTTCCTTAGGTCAAGGCCCCGACTGCAGGTTCTCGCTGGTTATTCGGCCTCTGCAGAACCTCCCAGGGCTTGAGGATGAGAAACCGGTCCCGGGGCATTGGGTCGAGACCTCTGGGGGCCGGCGCGCGCTGTGCAGACAAAAGCTCATGGCGTCGGGGGCCTCGCACCACGTTGCTCCCCCGCGAGGGGGGCAGCCCGTCGCTCCGCCCCCTCCCGCTGCGCGCCGCCACCAAGACGGCCCTGGTGGACGAGGTGAAGGCCCTCTGCAGGACGGACCCGGCCGCCAAGGCGGCCTGGTGCGCCTGGTGCGACCAGCACACCGGCGGCACGAAGGACCCCAACCGCCTGGACGCCGAGGTCCTCGGCGCCTTCCTCGCCGAGCACCAGGGCGGCTCCGCCCAGGGCCCCCCGGCGGTGTGGGACGTGGCGCCCGCCGACGGGGGGCCGCCCGGCGCGGCCCTGGGCGAGGCCGACGACGGCAAGGCGGCCCTGGTGGAGGAGGCGAAGGCGCTGTGCAGGGCGGACCCGGCCGCCAAGGCGGCCTGGTGCGCCTGGTGCGACCAGCCGGGTGCTGCCAGGGGCGGCCCCGGGCCCCGGGCGTCCTTGATGGGCCTGTTTTCCACCACCACCACCACCAGTTGGAGGGGGAGGGGGTCCTCCTCCTCCTCCTCCTCCTCAGCCTCCTCCTCCTCCTCCTGCTCCTCCTCCTCCTCTTCCTCCTCCTCCTCCTCGTCCTCCACCTCCTTCCCCCCCTCCAACTTCTGGTGGTGGTGGTGGAAAACAGGCCCATGAGTCCTCGGGATTTCCAGGGGGGCCCACGCGTCCTCCAGATCTAGGCCTCCCAAGTGGGGTCCGAGTGGATGGGGTCGGAGGATCGCGCCGCATCGGCGATGAGGCTCGGTGAGGAGCCCGATTTTTTCCACGCCGACGTCGCGGGTGGGTCGCCGACGTCGCCGATGCATCGCCGGTGCATCGCCGATACATCGGCGATGCATTGACGATGCGGCGCGATCCTCCGACCCGCACTATTCGAATCCCCATCTATAGGATGCCTCTACCAGAGCACCCCTAACACAGGCCCAGGAGGGCCCTGCAGGGGCTCCAAGCTCGGGGGCGGCAAAGAGGGCGGTGGTGACTTGGGGGGATATCATGGCAGGGGCCATGATATCTCCCCAGAGTTCATGGCGCCTCTCCTTAATTTCATACGTCCCGGGTATCAACCGATGGCAGCACACGAAGGCTTCTCGGGATGTTTTCGATAGATCTGATTATCAACTTCCAAGATACGCAACCTTTCACCTGACTCAGGGGCCGCTGAACATCAAATGGCAATGGTACAGACACTTGTGAAACAACTGCTTGCAACACATCATGCTTGCTGAAACTGCAGGGCTGTGCTAGTACGCAAGAATGCACAAACATAACCCGATCGGATTGGGGTTATATTGACACGGGCGGAAAAGGAGTTAGCACATATTCATTCAACATCGCACATTGCCGAGATCAGGGCTCTCTGGAACTTTACCAGGAAACGAGACCTTAAAATCAAAACAGGGAACAGGACCGAAATTAGCCTGGCGAAGGGCCCAACCATATGCAGTTGTGAGCACCGTCGTTGTATGCACCGCATTCGGAGGAGCTCGTTATAGGGCCACGAAACGTGTGAGGAGTGTGCCAAAATTTGTCCGGTGGGCGCCATCAAAAGCAGCCACTTGGGCCGTCGGTGGCATTCCCCTTGGGGCCACGAAACGCGTGAGAGGTGTGCCGAAATAGGTAAGTGTGGTGTGCGCAAGCGAACGCAGCCATTGGGGCCGTGCCGAAATGGGTGCGGTGGGCGCATGCAAACGCAGCCACTGGCGCCTTCGGTGGAGCTCCCGATGGGGCCACGAAACGCGTGAGGGGTGTGCCGAAACGTGCGTGAGGGACGCATGCGGGCGGAGGCACTGGCGCCTTCGGTGGAGTTCCCTCCTTATGGGGCCACGAAACGTGTGAGGGGTTTGCCGAAGTAGGGTTGGATGACGCATGCGGGTGGTGGCACTGTCGCCTTCGGTAAGGCTCCCTACGGGGCCACGAAAGGCGTGAGGGGTGTGCCGGAATGTGCGTGGGTGATGCATGCGGGCGGTGGCACCAGGGCCTTCGTTGGAGCTCCCAACGGGGCCACGGAACGTGTGAGGGGTGCAACGAAGTGGATGTGTGTGACGCATGCGGGCGGTGGCACTGGCGCCTTCGGTGGAGCTCCCCATGGGGCCACGAAACGTGTGAGGGGTGTGCCGGAATGTGCGTGGGTGGTGCATGCGGGCGGTGGCACCAGGGCCTTCGTTGGAGCTCCCAACGGGGCCTCGAAACGTGTGAGGGGTGTGCCGAAATGGGTGTGGGTGACGCATGCGGGCGGAGGCACTGGCGCCTTCGGTGGAGCTCCCTATGGGACCACGAAACGTGTGAGGGGTGTGACGAAGTAGGTGTGGATGACGCATGCGGGCGGAGGCACTGGGGCCTTCGGTGGAGCTCCCTATGGGGCCACGAAACGTGTGAGGGGCGTGCCGAAATGGGTGTGGGTGACGCATGCGGGCGGTGGTACTGGGGCCTTCGGTGGAGCTTCCTATGGGGCCACCGGAGCACTCTGGCACGAGTCGGCCTCCGCCGACCAATGCTGCTCACGTCGGCCTGGTCGGCCGTCATCCTCCTGTCGGCTTTGCCGACCATCACGCCAAACTGGCGTCCTTCCAAAACGGCCTGTGGTACTCCATCCTGTCACGAAAGCTCCCTGAGCATACTCGGGCAGCGGGTGGAACCTCGGCGTGTTGAGATCCTGATTGTAGCGACATTGCGACTGGACGAGCACGTTGCGTACCTTCTTCTGATTCGTCAGCTTCGGGTCGGTCCTGGTCGTCTTGACCTTGACATGCCCTGGCTCTGTCTCGGGCTCGCGCATCTTCTCGACTTTCGTGTCATGCTCGAGCTGCTTGGTCCAGTGTGTCCACCACGCTCCAGCACGAAACCTGCAGTAGAACGCCACAGCAAGTCCCATCACGAAGCCGAAGATAATCATCTTCATGATCAGGTCGTTCCAGTCGGCTGGCGTCGGTGGGTTGAACACCTCGACGCCGCTGGGCGTGTACTGCATCACCTGTCCTGCCGCGCTGCCGCCTTCGCCAGCTGCCAGTGCCGCAGCCAGCTCGGCTCCGCTTGCGCCAAAATGGCGCTTACCCTTTGGCCTTCGCTTTCTCCTTCGTCTTGGTCACAGGCGTCGTCTCGAGTGTATCGTGTACAGTGGGGGCGTGCGCCAAGAAACCAGTTGCATTTTGCCAGGGTGCCCTGGGTTTCTTGGATTTCGATGTGCCCCCAATAAGATCTTGACGATGTTCGATCGACAAATTTTGGTTTTCACTGAACAAATCGCGGATTTCAGGGTTGGGTTTCTTGCAGAGGGTTCTTCTGGCCGAGCCCCCACTGTAGTGCCTCGCCAGCGTCGTCCAGCTCCTGCTCGCGCTGCTCCGTCGCCCTCTTGAAGAGCTCCCTGTCAGCCACGAAGGCGGGGTCGTGCCGCAACGCATGCACTCGACGGCGCAGAACGTCCGCCATCGTCTGGCGGGCCGGAAGCTTGGCAAGTCCGTCCGCCATCGGCTGCTGCGTGTTCACCCACCACCCACTTCCAGGTGGCGCCTATCTCGCAAATTGGAACATATACATTACCAGTGGCGGGCTGTTTTTCAATCCCACGACTTTTTAAGGGTCAGGGACGACGTCGGGGTGGTGTGGTGTATACTTTTCCCCCGTTCCCCAAGGGAAACAACCAAACATGTGTACACCAGGATCCCGTATACACCAGAATCCGCGTTCCTGTGCGATTTTCAGCGCAGGGTCGGGAAAAGCGTCGGTGTATAGAGTTCGTTTCTTTACTGTCTCCGTCATCCGCTCTTTCACGATCTTCACCTCGATGGCCGTCCTCTTCTCCGCGATGCCCAGGCCTGCCGTCGCTGAGCGCGACGCGTCGTGGAGGCACTTCGCGTCCGTGGTGAACGGCGACTCTCCCAAGTACACCATCGCTTCTTCGAGCTCCAGGTCGGGTGGCAAGCTCCACGCCAGGCAGACCGCGCCCCAAGCTGCTGCCTGGGCCTCCGCCGACAGCGAGCTCCTGCACGGACGCTGCAACTTCTTCCAGGCCCACTCTATGGCCACGAACGGCGTCGGGGTGCCGGCGTTGAGCTCGTCCGCGGGACCGATGAAGATCGCGTAGCTTCCGCTCGAATTGCCGTCACGTCGGTTCGCCCAGCTCGCGTCGGTGTAGCTGCCAACTCGCAGGTTGCTCCAGGCCTTGTCGAACCCGAAGTAAAGCCCTACGTCCGCGTTGGCCTTCAGAAGGCGCAGATCCTTGTTCGCATCGAGTAAGTCCTGCACGGTGGCTCGACCTGTCGCCGAAGCTCGGAATGACACCGTAGCCGCTGCTATGATCACTCCTTGGGCTGCCGGCCGCTGCAACTGTCCATTCAAGGTCCTGAAGTTCGTAAGCTCCTTCGGCGACAGCGCACTTCTGGGGTCAGCTCTCCGATGCTTCTCGACGGTGATGGGTTTCACCGCGTGCAGATACTTCTCGAACTTGAGGGTCACGCTGTCGGGGCCTAGGGACTGCTCCACTTCGCCTCCAGCGAAGATCAGACGCGCCCCGAACTCCCCCTTGCCGAACTTGAACTTCTCGTTGAGCGCCCCTAGCCGCGCCTGGAGGCACTCGGTGTCGTCAAGCTTCGCGTAGAGGTCCTGTTCGTTCGCCGCGCCCCCGCCGCAACCGATGAAGCCACGCACGTGCTTGCCGATCGAGCCGTCCACCACGTAGGTCTGACGGTCTGGCCCTCGAAGCTGCACGCGTCGAACGGGTCGTCCGCGACCTTCGACGGGCGCAGGGGCAACAGCAGGCAATCCTCGAGCTTGTGGTTCCCGAACCCGATCTCCTTCGCGACTTCGTCGGAGCGGTAGTGACAGGGCTTGGGCGACCGCGGGTCACCAACGCACGGCTTGATCACCTTGAGCAGCTGTCCAGGTTGCAGGCCGATCTGGTGTGAGAGCATCTCTCTCATCTCCTTCGTCGGGCTCGCGTACAGCTTGAGGGCGCGTGCGCTCGCGTCCTCAGCCTGCAGGAATGCGGGCTTCACGTCCGCGCTGAACAACCTCCACTTCCTCAGAGACGCCCGGAGCATGACCGTGTGTCGGCCAAGCCTGCTGAGGGTCGGCGCCTCCTTGTCGAGCTGGCTCTCGGCGACGTCGCGGTGCTTGAAACCATGGTAGAGTACACGCGCGTTGGCCACCTTCTGCCCGTCCT